TTCAGCCAGCTGTGACAAGTTGTCTTCAGAGAGGCAATGTGGGGTTTCCAGGATAACCTACGGTCAACGAGAAGGCCTAGAAACCTGACTATATCACGTTCAGGGATATGGGAGCCATAGAGGTACAAAGGATGATCGGAGATGACAGAGCGTCTAGTGAAAGTAATTTGGTGAGTTTTGGTTCTGGAAAATTTAAACCCATGCGTGGTGGCCCAATTGGAAACATGGTCGACCGCATGCTGGAGAGAAACTGTAATGAGGTGACAGTCCATGCCTGCACAAGCAATAGCGAAGTCATCTACATGGAGTGATGACTAAATATTGGATGGAAGAACAAAGGCCAAATCATTTATAGCAAGGAGAAAAAGTGTTGTGCTCAGAACACATCCCTGAGGGACACCTTCAGCTTGGACAAAGTCCGGGGAGAGCACATTATTGACTCAAACACGGAAATGTCTGACAGTTAAAAAGTTCTTAAGGAAAGATGGTAGATTGCCACGGAGGCCTAAGGAGTGGGCTTGGGCCAAAATATTATACCTCCAAGTTGTGTCATATGCCTTCTCAAGGTCAAAAAATATGGCAATAACTGAGTGGTTATTCACAAAGGCATTACGAATATATGTATCCAAGCATAGTAAGGGGTCTATGGTAGAACGACCCTTACGAAAGCCATATTGACGAGTGGAGAGACTGTTGTGTCTCTAAATACCACATTAAATGTCTATTTACCAGACGTTCCATCACTTTGCAAACTGCACTGGTAAGAGCGATGGGACGATAGTGGGAGGCTTCATGTCCCGTAGTACCCGGTTTGTGGAAAGGGAGAACAATGGCAGATTTCCACAGCTGTGGAAGAACTCCTTGTGATCAAATAAGATTGAAAAGGCGTAAGAGGACTGCAAGGGCTGACTGATGTAAATGTTGTAGCATACGAATATGAATGTTGTCGGGCCCAGCTGCCGATGATCGGCAAGCTGAAAGTGTTACCTCCAGTTCCTGAAGTGTAAAAGGCACATTATACTGTTCTTCTCTGAGAGAAGAAAAGTCCAAGGGTGCTAACTCTCTGGCAGACTTCGAGGAAAGAAACATGAGGCATAGATGGAGCCCCAGAGAAATACGGACCAGATGATTGCCAATTTCATTGGCAACATCTAGTGGGTTTGCTATATCAACACCGGCAACCCGCAGAACAGGAGCCGGGTCAGGAGAATATTTACCACTCAGTTTCTGTACTTTTTTCCAGACTGCACTCATAGAGGAAGCAGAGGTGATGGTGGAGACATAATCTCGCCAGCAAGTACGTTTAGCTTCATGGATGACACGGCGAGCGATTGCACGCTTCTGCTTAAAATCAAGAAGTCTCTCCGTGGTTCTATTGTACCGGTACCTGCCCCACGCAGTGCATTTCAAACATACTGCACGAGCACAGGCAGGAGACCACCAAGGCACGCATTTCTGAGAATGCCTGCCCGAGGTTTGGGGTATAGAGTGAGAAGCTGCGGTTAAAACTGAGGACGAGAAGAGGTGTAAAAGCTCATCAATAGAGGACGAAGAAGGAACCTCACTAAAAACAGTTAGTTGTGAGTAAAGGTCCCAATTTGCCTGATCAAATTGCCAGCGTGGGTTACGAAGAGGTGGTGAATATGAAGGGGAAGTAAGAATGATTGGAAAATGATCGCTGTCATGTAAATCCAGGAGAACGGACCAGGTGAAGTCTAGTGAGGCGGAGGAAGAGCTGACTGAGAGATCGATGCAAGAGAGAGTATGAGTAAGAAGATCAAAATGGATGTGAGTACCTGTATTTAAAACATGGAGGGGGTGGGAAGCAAGAAAAGCCTCTAACTGAATGCCACAGGAATCACAGTGAGACCCCCCCAGAGGAAATGATGGGCATTAAAATCGCCAAGTAACAGAAGTGGTGGCGGTAATGACGAAACAAGAAAGGCAATATCCAGGATAGATAATGTCCGAGAAGGAGAGAGATACAAAGAACAGAGTGTATACCACCTATGCAAGTGGATACGGGCTGCTGTGTAATGCAGCGAAGTACGAACAAATAGCTGATGGTACGGAATATCAGTGCGTAGAAGAAGGGCACTTTCATTAAAGGTCCCATCAGGAAAAGGATCCGAAGAATACAATAAATTATAGGCTGAAGTGGGATAGATAACAGCAGAGTGTAATTTTGGTTACTGTAAGCAAACACCAACAAACACCCCGATTACCCCTGAGGCTGCGTATATTCCACTGTAAATAGGCCATGATTGGCAATGATAAAGATACTAGAAATCCGCAGGTAAGGGTACCTACAGACTAGAGGGGTTAGAAACGTTCAAGCAGCGAAGAACGGTGCACTGTGAAGAAAGGAGTTGCGCAGATGGAGAAGCGGAAAGAGAAGGAACAGAGGGTGGATCAGTGTCCACTGATGGTTTGATCTCTGCAATATTTTCAGAGACTGCTTCAAGTGTTTCGGAGTTCAGAGACTTCGTATGGGAGACAATATTGGAGATGGAAGGAGGAGGAGTTTGAGTAAAGATCGGAGCTGTAATGGACTGTACCAAGGTTGGGGGGGGGGGCAAAAGGGTGGAGGGAACTGGGGAAGTGTGGGAGGGGACAGAAGAGGCAGAAACCTGGGAGGTGGCAGAAGAGGAAGAAACTTTGGAGGGGACAGGGGAGGAAGGCACAGTACAAGGAGGAGAGTGAACCTCCACACTTGTAACAAAGCCAGTGAGAGGGGAAGACCCAGGTACAGAGACCAGGAAGGTAAAATGAGGTGGAAGAAGGGATTGAAGGAGATTTTTTGACTTCTGAGAAGTAGAGGGACGATTGGGAGGAGGTGTCGTACGAGGTCTTGTCGGTACTGGGGTTTGTGAGGGAAAACACGAAGAAGTGAGAACAGACTGAGGTGTTGAAGTAGGGACGTCTGAACCCAGGACAGCAAAAGAATTAGATACAGGAGTGACTATAGGAGGGGCAGCTGCAGAGGAGGCTGCAGAAGATGGGACCCCAGAAGTGGGGGACGTTTTGAAACACAGGAAAAAAGAAACACTGGGTAGTCTCCCTTGGAGGCAGAGATGAGAAACTGCCATAGCATAAGGGAGACCTTCTGCCTCTTTAAGGCAATGAATTTCCTGCTCATTTAAGTAGACCTGGCAACAGCGAGAATACAAAGGGTGAGCCTCATGACAAGGGAAGAGGGAGGTCGACTGCAAGACATTTTAGAATGGTCATCAGCACCACAGACTGGGCATTCGGCTATAGATCTGCAATATTTCGCTGGGTGGCCAAATCGCCAGCAATTTCTACACTGTTGCAGTGTAGGGATCACCTTTCGAACTTGTAACCAATGTCCTGCTACATAAACAGAGGATGGGAGTTCACGGCTGTCAAAAGTTAAACAAGCCACATTGCAAGGGTATCATCTTCGCCCACGGGCAGGAAGAACATAATTGTCTACCTTGAGAATTGGGAGATCTTGAAGTTCCAGCTGTTCGAGAATGTCATTGCCACATGTCTGGAAATTCTGTAGGACTATGGTATGGGGCAGAATGAGAGTACCACTACAAGAATTGAGGGAATGATGTTTTTCGATAGTGATAGGAATAGTATCGATATGTGAAAGAAGAGAAAGATCATGAGCTTGGGTAACATTCTGGACTGTGATGATGCACGTACCACTCTTAAGAGCATGAAAGGAAATATCTCTACCAACATGGCGGAGGAGTGCCTTGCCAATACTATGGTCGGAAAGATAAGCAATAGAGGAAGTCGGTCGTAAAGTAAAGAATTTAGTCCATTTTGCATTCTGAAACAGCGTGTAAAGGTAGAGTACAATGTGTCGGTCTTTTCTGAGTAGCACAAGAAGGTGGCAAAGAAGTATCATCGGGCAATTGTCGTTGACATTTAGGAGTGGGACCAGAATTGGTCCGACGTTGGACGGGCTGGCGATTCGAAAATTGCCGCACCATAGAGGGAGAAGCCGGAAGTATAGTCAAAGGAGAGCGGAGGTCAGACAAATCAAAGGAGTCAGTCGAAACCCCAGCACCTGAAGCGGGTGATGAAACAGCACCAGCAAGAGATACAGGGCCTTAGGACTGTCCGAAGAGTGGTCAAAAGACGAGGCGAGGTCAGAATGGGGTGCGGTAACAAGAAGGGGTCCGGGGGTAGCGAGGTCATGGATTGGGCACTCCATGGTTAGGTTACTTCTTTTTGTTTTTAAGAAAAAAAAAAGAATAAAAAAAGGGGGGGACCGGGGAAGGATAGTTCCTAGGAGGAATGAAAGGGCTAGAAATCTCTCTCCGTGCCCAAGAGGACCTCAGCACCGCAAGTAGCGCAAATGCAGCATGGAACCCGTGCCATACCCTACCCTTCATGCCAGTAAACCAGCAATCCGGGATAGCAACCTCACATCTGCTGAGCTACCTCAGTGGACAAAAGAGAGGGCGGCTGGATATCCACCACAAAGCATACCTCCTTCGGCCACCACCTCTAGAATCCGAAAGGTGGCTTCCAGAGATACACCCGTCGCCCGAAAGACACCCAAAGCCACCCTCTGGGATACCGGAGAAGGATCGGGACATCCCCAGGTGATCCAGATTCCATGGTAAACTATGCCACTGCCAAGAACCTCAACGGAATGGGATGGACCCCAGTACCCTTTCCCCTACCTATGAACTAGTATGCCTGTGGGAAAAATCCCAAAGGCCAAAAAGAGGAAGGGCAAAAGGGAGGGGTGGGGAGGAGGAAAGGAAAAAGGGGAGGATGGGATAGGGAAGGGGGGATTGGGGGGTAATTAGGTTCAGTCTGAGGAAGGAGACCGACAGGTTTAATTCCTCAGACCAAGAGCCTCTTCACAACGCCAAGGAGCCACCCCTTGAAGAGGATATGAAGGGATGAACTAAAAAATATATTCTAAGTAATAAACATTTTGCTGCATTGTTATTATTTTCAGCCCTAGTAGATAAAAGTTTCTTTTCCTATTTCACTAATGTTACCCACAGGAATGTCAGTTGCTGGCGACATGGGGGTTGGTGTTGGCAGTTTGAGTACCTCCCATCTACCTGGCACCACTGCACCTCACCCAGCACTTGCTCGCACTACAGCTATTAACACTACTGGCCTACCCAATGCTACGCCAAAACGCGCTTCAGATTATCGCCTATTGTCCCCTTACCAGCCACCTGGGTCTGAGTACCGTCCATTGTCAACTTTACAGACTAGTATGGGTACCCCCATTGGTTGTCAAAACCCTATTTACAATCAGCACCAGCCTCCAGGGGTGGCTTCCCTCCCAAGCACGACTCGAGCTGGGAATGCAGGAGCAGCTTTCGCAAGCAGTATGCTGTCCCATGGGTCAGAGGAGTCATCAACAGGAGCAGTGACTGGCAGGTCTGGCCAGTATGTTCAGTTCGAGCCACCATTTGCACAAGTCAACAAAGCCCTTAACACCACTGCCCAGCCACAACGACCCCCACGTTTATCCCAGAGAGACTTGTTAGGTGATTTTTCCAAGGACTTCCAAAAACTTACAGTAAACAGCTCTTCTAAAACAGCAATTGCAGGGAATAACAATAACACAATATTAAACAATAATAAGGTACCAACATCAAACAGTGATACTAGAGGTGCAAGTGACAACACATGGGCAACATTTGATTGATGAAAAATTACTTTATAAATAATTTGTCAGATTTCAGTGGCTTGAAGAAGGGAAGTGTTTCGGGAAAGTCATAAAGACAAACTACATAAATGAATATTAACTCATTCATTGGTGGTTGTGATACCATATTAAGGACATAGATTACAGACTAATTTGAACCTCTACAAGATTACTTATATAGTATTTTTTTTATGACTTTTTGAGTGTTGGATTTTATATAGAAGCATTTATCTAATATGGTGCATATTCAGATTATGGAAAAGTGGCCCCTTAATTGAATATATAAAATTATGCTATGGTAACCCTAGTAGCTTCACAGAAAGTTATATTCTCATTAGTTTTATTTCATAATGAGCTGGTAAATTACACTGGCCAACCAAAGACTGACAGACTATGCTGATGAATATCCACTGCCTGATCATTGTGTATCTGTACAATGTTAGTACATACGCACACATTTTATATACTACTAAGAAACAGTACTGTCTGTGGATATTACTGCATATGTCAGTAACAAAGTAGGACTATGGCATTTCAATTAAGACATGAAACCAGTGATGTGGTTATTTTTATGTATTAAAATACGTATGCTGTTAAGCCTGGAGCTTAAATGGAAATTGTATGGTAGCTTGTAACAAAGAACAATGCCCAGCAATGGTGATATGAGGGGTGGCTGTAACTACAGTACTAGATAATCATATACAGTTTTTACTGATTAGTTTGGAGGTGATAGCTACAAGATAGAGAGAAATAAAATAATAGTTTATATGGTATGCTTTTCTTGAAGATTAAAAGCACTTGTGATTGGAATGTTTACAAAACTGAGAGAGTGAACTTTTTTCTTCATATATTTATCTCTGTAGCTTTCTTTCTCTATCTGGTAGCCAGTAGTCAATCATGCCTGATTGCAGATATGTCCTGCATTTGATTACCTCTACAGGCAAGTGTAAATGCCTATACTCCCAAGGATGCCTTGGACCATTATTAGTTTCCTGATCTAATTTCCATAAAGGAAGTTTAGTCTGCTGTGAAACGGTAAAGGATGGTGCATATATGGGGAAGATTTAAGAGATTCTGTCCCATTTCAAATTTATTAGAATTTAGCTTACATACTTCTGTCATTGTCATACAGTTGGTATGTTTAAAATGGTTGATGTAATGTCATTGATCTTTAAATAAGTATAGATGTCTTTACTACAATGGCATATCACATGAATTCTGTTCAGGCAACAATAAAACATTTTGTACAGAACTTAGAGGGCAAAAAGGAGATGTTACTTGTTATTGTAGTAACATACTGTGTGACAGACAGTGGAGTAATGCTTGAAATTTAGTTAAGAGAATTCCTATTTGTTTTGACAAGTTAATTTTTTTTTAGAAAATCTTTACTAATAGTGTTTGATGATATGTTTGAATACTGAAAAGATTAGGTTACTTTTATACAATCCAATAAGAATGAAAGTCAGTTGTAATGTTGCAGCTCAATTGTTAATTATTTTTTTCGAGTTGTTAAAATATTACTTGGGAAACTTCATAAACCTGATACAGTACCAGTTGTAGAGTACTGTACAGTAAAACCTCAATTTAAGACTGATTTAATGGACAAAAATCTGTGGCCATATAACCAGGAATAATAGCCAAAGTCTGTTGGAACTAGAATTGTCTATTTTTATGGTCCACTGAGTAAATTGATTTCAGATTTAACGGAAAAAGTCTCTTAAATTGGAATGATCTGTTGTGATGGACAATTCTGGAGTTAATAGACAAAGTCTGTTGAATCCATACTTGGTCCATTGGTGTTTCAGTCTGCTGGGCAAATTGATTATCAGATTTTATAGACTATGTTAAATCCAGAATTATTCCTCATTGTTACAATCGTGGATGAGCAATATCTGGATTTAACAGTCGACTTTAATGGACACCCCCCTCCTCCCATTTACTTTGTTAAATTGAGGGTTTGTTGTATAAGAATACTGATGCTGCTGCTTTAGCGTCTACAAAAATGCAAATAGAAAATATATAGTAAATTTCTTTTTACTAATTATTATAATCAAAAAGAAGCACTAAGCCACAAGGGCTATACAGCTCTTTTTACTAAACTGGTTAGTAATATTGGTTCAGAATCTCTTGACCCTCAATTCTTCCATAAATCTTTCCCTGCAGTATTCACAGTAGTTTGCAAAATGAGGTTATGCCACAAACCAGACGAGAAAGCTTGCATTTAAGTTGCATTGATGTTAACAGTAGGCAGTATAATGTATCCAGTAACTCCTCCAAACTTGCCAGTTTTAAAAAGGCCCACCTACTCAACCCCCTCATCTACACCCAACTGATGTATGTATGATATATCAATATTTTGTTCCTAATTTACAGACAGCAGCAGTTTTAATAACCATTCCATTCTTTGTCAATTCTTGGAAGGGAACAAATGATGGAAGCAATGCCTGTATTATTAGTTTTATGGCGCCTTATGAAACTGGTTTGTTACAAAGTGTGTAAATATATTATGAAAAAGGTGTTTTTAATATTGTAATTGCATTCTCTAAATTTATACACACTCATAACTATATATAAAAATATATGAATGCCCAGTTATTGTTAACTTTGGAAATTATATATTTTAAAAAATATATTTGACCCCTCCAATGAATGTGTGTAATGTATTAAATATATTTTTTCTGCATCTAAAAAAAAGTACAGTATGATCCAGCTACTGTATACTTTGATTAATAAATTCCTTGTCATGTGATAAATATCTTAACTGTATGTGGTATTATGTAACAGTTTTGTTCAGAATGAATGCAAATGTTTTACTATACATGTTCAAGCTGCATTTTGTGAGGACACCACCTTACTCATTCAGGTTACTGTGCTGCTGTCCCATTCTCATAGTTATTACATGCTAGATAATTTTCATGGTATTTCATGTAAAATTTCTAGCCACTATCTCTTTTTTACTCTCATTATTGTTATTTTCTTATCAAAAATATTTATCAACAATAAATTCATTATAGAAAATTGGCTCTCATTATTGTAATTAACTCTACTAAGTTAATATTCTTAGACTAAATGTGTTGTATGTTTTTGCAAATGAAGATCAAGAAGTGATTCATGAGAGAAAGATTATTATTATGAAACGTAATAAAATTATAGGAACAGCTACAGGAAAAGATCACATGTAAGAACACAGAAGGATGTATAATATTATGACTGGTATGTAATATTAAGAAGTTGATGAGCAAGACATGTGCAACACTAGATATCTATTGATGAAACACAGTCTGCACTGTAGACTTCATCAGTTGAATGAATTATTATTATTATAATCAAAAAGAATCGCTAAGCCTCAAGGGCTATACAGCGCTGCAGGGTAGGAAAGGAAGCGAGGGTATTGGGCGGCAGAAGGGGGGAGGGGCGATCAGTAGGTTACAGAAAACAGCGGGGCAGGGGATAGTGCAGGGTAGAGGGTAGCAAGAGATCGAGGTAGAAAGGGCTGAAGGTAACATCAGAGTTTGTGAAGACAGTCAGTTGTTGTTGTCAAAAAGTCAATGAGAGAGTCCGGATGAAAGGTGGGTCCATCAGCGAGAAGGGAAGGTAAAGAGACAGCAGCGGAGTGAAGACGACGTTGGAGGTAAATTCTGCGTGCTCGTTGATAAAGTGGGCAGTCTAACAGAATGTGGCTGACCGATAATGGAACCTGACAATTCTCACAAAGAAGAGCAGGGCGCCTCTCCATGAGATATCCATGAGTAAGACGAGTATGGCCAATGTGGAGATGGGAGAGAGTAGTCTCCCAACCTCGGCACTGGTGACAAGAAGACGGCCAGTAACCTATACTCAGTTTAATAGATTGAAGTTTGTTACCGAGCAGGGTAGACCAACGTTGTTGCCAACGGGTGTGAAGGTGGGTAGCTATTGCAGCAAAATAGTCCGTAAATGGAACACCTCTGTATGAAACTGGTAGGTCATGTACTGCTGACCTCGCAGCAGTGTCTGCCTGTTCATTGCCCTGTACGTCAACATGACCAGGGACCCAACAAAAAACAATATCTTTATGCTTGGTAGAGATACGACGTAGCCAAAGTTTGATACGGAGGACTAAGGGGTGAGGTGTATCAAATTTCTGTATAGCCTGTAAAGCACTAAGAGAGTCTGAGACAACCACAAATGATGACACAGGCATAGATGCAATATGGATAAGTGCTGCAAGATTGGCATACAATTCAGCAGTAAAGATACTAGCCGAAGATAGTAAATGCCGTCGTACGATGCTGTCCGGAAACAATGCTGCGAATCCTACGCCGTCAGAAGACTTAGAGCCATCTGTGTACACTGCAATGGCCCATGAGAATGAGGTGGAAGTGGTCAAGAAAAGAGAGTGGGGAAGCTCTGTAGACATTTGGGCTTTCGAGCAAGGGAGTGAGAAAGAATAGACTCGAACAGCTGGAACTTCCCAGGGGGGTAGGGAAAAGTGATATGCTACATTAACATAGAAAGGTGGAAATTGAAGAGAAGACAAGAGTGAATGTAGGCGAAGAGAGAAGGGACGGAGCAAACAGGGGCGGCGAACAAATAAAGAATGTCTACTGATATCGGTGATCATTCTATAAATGGAAGGATTGCGGAGATCATGAGAGCGTACATAGTAGCGAAGGCAATGGGCATCACGGCGATTGGATAAGGATGGAACGTTCGCTTCTGCATAGAGGCTCTCAACAGGGAAAGAGCGAAAAGCACCAAGGCATAAACGTATTATTATTATAATCAAAAAGAAGCGCTAAGCCACAAGGGCTATACAGCGCTGCAGGGTAGGGAAGGAAGCAAGGGAATTGGATGGCAGGAGGGAGGGGGGATGATCAGCAGGTTACAGAAAACAGCGGGGCAGGGGATAGTACGGGGGTAGAGGGTAGCAAGAGATACAAGTAGAAAGGGCTGAAAGTATTAGAATTTGTGAAGTAAGTCAGTCGTTTTCAAAAAGTCAATAGAGAGTCCCGGATGAAAGGTGGGTCCATCAGCGAGAAGGGAAGGTAAAGAGGAGAGCAGCGGGGCGAAAGACGACGACAGAGGTAAATTCTGCGTGCTCGTTGATAAAGTGGGCAGTCCAACAGAATGTGGCTGACTGATAATGGAGCTTGGCAATTCTCCCCGAGAGGAGCAAGACGCCTCTCCATGAGATATCCATGAGTAAGACGAGTATGGCCAATGCGAAGAAGGGGAGAGAGTAGGGCTCCCAACCTCGACATTGGTGATAAGAAGACGCCAGTAACCTATACGGTTTAATAGACTGAAGTTTGTTGCCGAGCATAGTGACCAACGTTGTTGCCAACGGGTGTGAAGGTGGGAAAATTTTACGCAAAATTGTCCGTACATGGAATACCTCTGTAAGAAATGGTAGGGTCATGTACTGCTGACCGCGCAAACAGTGTCTGCCGTTCATTGCCCTGTACGTCAACATGACCAGGGACCCAACAAAAAACAATATCTTTATGCTTAGTAAAGATGCGGCGTAGCCAAGTTGGATACGGAGGACTAAGGGGGGAGGTGTATCAAATTTTTGTATAGCCTGTTAAAGCACTAAGGGAGTCTGAGACAACCACAAATGATGACACAGGCATAGATGCAATACGGATAAGTGCTGTAAGGATGGCATATAATTCAGCAGTAAAATACTAGCTGAAGATAGTAAATGCCCTTGTACGACGCTGTCCGGAAACACTGCTGCGAATCCTACGCCGTCAGAAGACTTAGAGCCATCTGTGTACACAGCAATGGCATGAGAATGAGAGTGAAAGTGGTCAAGAAAAAGAGAGCGGGAAGCGACCGTAGACAGTTGGGCTTTCGAGCAAGGGAGGGAAGAAAGAACAGACTCGAACAGCTGGGACCTCCCAGGGGGGTAGGGAAAAGTGAGATGCTACATGTACATAGAAAGGTGGTAGTTGAAGAGAAGACAAGAGCGAATGAAGGCGAAGAGAGAAGGGACGGAGTAAGCAGGGGCGGCGAACAAATAAAGAATGTCTACTAATATCAGTGACCATTCTATAAATGGAAGGATTGTGGAGATCATGAGAGCGTACATAGTAGCGCAGGCAATGGGCATCACGGCGATCGGATAAGGATGGAACGTTCGCTTCTGCATAGAGGCTTTCGACAGGGGGAAGAGCGAAAAGCACCAAGGCATAAACATAATCCTTGGTGATGATTGGAGTTAAGGCTAGAGAGAGTAGCAGGAGATGCCGCTGAATAGATCTGGTCACCATAATCAAGTTTCGATAAAATAAGGGTGGAATGTAGGTGAAGGAGGGTTCGACGATCAGCTCCCACGAAAGATGAGCAAGGGTTTTAAGAAGGTTCAGCCGGCTGTGACAAGTTGCCTTCAGAGAGGTAATGTGAGGTTTCCAGGATAACCTACGATCAAAGAGGAGGCCCAGAAACTTGACTGTATCACGTTCAGGGATACGTGAGCCATAGAGGTACAAAGGATGATCAGAGATGACAGAGCGTCTAGTGAAAGTGATTTGGTGGGTTTTAGTGCTGGAAAATTTAAACCCATGTGTGGTGGCCCAATTGGAACACGGTCGACTGCATGCTGGAGAGAAACTGTAAGGAGGTGACAGTCAGCGCCTGCACAGGCAATAGCAAAGTCATCAACATAGAGTGATGACCAATATTTGATGGAAGACTAGAGGCCAAATCATTAATAGCAAGGAGAAAAAGTGTTGTGCTCAGAACACATCCCTGGGGGACACCTTCAGCTTGGACAAAGTCCGGGGAGAGCACATTATTAACCCGAACACGGAAATGCCTGTCAGTTAAAAAGTTCTTAAGGAAGGATGGTAGATTGCCTCGAAGGCCTATAGGAGTGGGCTTGGGCTAAAATATTATACCTCCAAGTTGTGTCATATGCCTTCTCAAGGTCAAAAAATATGGCAATAACTGAGTGGTTATTCGCAAAGGCATTACGAACATACGTATCCAAGCGCAGTAAGGGGTCTATGGTAGAACGTCCCTTACGAAAGCCATATTGACGAGTGGAGAGACTGTTGTGTGTCTCTAAATACCACACTAAACGTCTATTTACTAGACGTTCCATTACTTTGCAAACTGCACTGGTAAGAGCAATGGGACGATAGTGGGAGGTTTCATGTCCCGTAGTGCCTGGTTTGCGGAAAAGGGAGAACAATGGCGGATTTCCACAGCTGTGGAAGAACTCCTTGTGACCAAATAAGATTGTAAAGGTGTAATAGGACTGCAAGGGCTGACTGATGTAAATGTTGTAGCATACGAATATGAATGTCGTCGGGCCCAGCTGCCGATGATCGACAAGCTGAGAGTGTTGCCTCAGTTCTTGAAGTGTAAAAGGCACATTATACTGTTCTTCTCTGAGAGAAGAAAAAGTCCAAGGGTGTCTAACTCTCTGGCAGACTTTGAGGAAAGAAATGAGGGGCATAGATGGAGTCCCTGAGAAATACGGACCAGATGATTGCCAATTCATTGGCAACATCTAGTGGGTTTGCTATATCAACACCGGCAACCCGCAGAACAGGAGCCGGGGTCAGGAGAATATTTACCACTCAGTTTTCGTACTTTTTTTCCAGACTGCACTCATAGAGGAAGCAGAGGTGATGGTGGAGACATAATCTCGCCAGCAAAGTGCGTTTGCGTCACGGATGACACGGCGAGCGATCGCACGCTTCTGTTTAAAATCAAGGAGTCGCTCTGTGGTTCTATTGTACCGGTACCTGCTCCATGCAGCGCGTTTCAAACGTACTGCACGAGCACAAGCAGGAGACCACCAAGGCACGCATTTCTGAGAATGCCTGCCCGAAGTTTGGGGTATAGAATGAGAAGCTGCGGTGGAAAACGGAGGACGAGAAGAGGTGTAAAAGCTCATCGATGGAGGACGAAGAAGGAACCTCTTTAAAAACAGTCAGGTTGTGAGTAAAGGTTCCAATTTGCCCGATTAAATTGCCAGC